AAAAAGATTTTCCTAAAGTCACCCCACAAAAAGAAGAAACAGTTACATGCAAGTATTTCCAGTACTGATAACTTCCCATTTAAATCCAGGTACATATTTCTATAATTTCCATCATGTATTCATCAGAATGCAAAAACACCATTTCTACAATCAAGGCACAGTATGTTTACATAAGTGTGTGCATTGATGTAAAAAAATCAAGACACTATTTAATTATGTGACCCTACAAGTACTAGGAACAGCAAGGTGCCACACGTTTGCTTTTATTTATTTAGAAGACTCATATAGCCATCTCTCTTATGCACCATAATCCTGGGTGTCTTACAAACAGTAAAAACACTTAAAACATAAAAAACCTTAATATAATTATGAATCTACTTTATTAGCCTTATATGAACATGTACTCATGGAAATTCAGGAACTGGAATCCTAGGGAAATAAGATTTCAGTGTGGAAGACAGACAGAATTAATTATTTTCAGTGTCCTTACATTGTTCAGCAATGTAAACACAACTGGAATTATGAAAACAATTAGGCCATTCTAACTCAAAGAGGATATTGTTGAACTGGAAACAGCTACAGAAAAGAAGTGAAAAAGATGCATAAAGAACAGGTGGTTTTCCTTTCCCTAATATAAGATATCACTAGAATTGTATTTCATACAGTGCACATACTATGCCATAACTTGGAATTCTAAGAATCTGAAAAATCACTGAAAAATTATTTTTACTAGAGAACTCTTTACTAGATTAACTACAGCATGGTACAGAACTGAGAAAGTAGTACTGAAAAATATCTGTTTAGAGTTGGAACAGAACAAAAAGCAGGTTCTGATATGACCAATTTAATGAAAATTAAGCACTTTAAATTTTGTCATTGGGTGAAATTGAAGCCACCCAGTACTTCAACTGAATGAGACCTATATTTATAATTATCTGACTAAAATCTTTAATTCTTTATTGAAATAAAGATACAGATAGTCCTCAGTTAACGACTGCCCTGTTTAGCAACCATTTGAAGTTATGATGGTGCTGAAAAACTAACTTTACAACCAGTCCTTGAACTTACGACTATCGCAGCATCCCCACGATCACCCAATCACGATTGAAGTGCTTCGCAACTAGCATGTGTCTATGATCATCGCAGCATCCCGCAGTCATGCGATTATCACTTGCGAGCTTCACAGCCAGGTTCCAACAAAGTCAATAAAGAAGCCACCAGTAAAATTGCAAGTCACAGTCAGGTGTCCCACTTAATGATTGCAGGTGATTTGCTTAATTACTGCGGCACCTTGACATTTTAAGTCCAGCACTGTCAGGTGATGTTTCACTTAACAACTGTGTCACTTAGCAACAGAATTGCCAGTCCCAATTGTGGTCATTAAGTGAGGACTACCTATACAGCAAAGGCAACCATTGTCCACTATTTTCTAATTTCTTCAATTGTTTTCTATATCCAAGTATACATATTTTTGTTTATATAAAATGTATGTACATAACCTCGCAAAGCATTTAAAAGAGGGGTTTTACAAATATGGGAGGACATGAGAAGCACCTCTTTTCAGGTCATTAAAGCAGCCATATTGTTTGCAAGGCTTATGGAGAAACTTTGGAAGCTGCTCTCAGCTTTCTCCAATGAAGAAAGTAAAGGCACTGAGCACGTCAGTGCATGTGGAAAGAGCAGGGTCCACCTTCAAAAGCAGCCATGTCAGCCTTGCAAGTGATTCAGCTACTTTAACAGTTCAAAAATATGTGCTTTGTATGCACTCCTGCACATTTTGTAAAATATCTCTTTTAAGTATTTGGCTCAGACCTAGCAACAGGCTGAATCTTGACCACACAGCAGGTGACACTACTGTGGGCCTACTTCTGCAAAAATTGTGCCACAAAAGGGAATTGGGTAAAAATGTATATTATTCTTACTTTTTTATTAAGAGATTAATATTTCACTTCCAAGATGCCCAGTGTAGCACATATGTACCTTTTATTTATTAAATTTATACCTGTATTTCTCTTGATAAGACACTCCATCCCATCTACCAATATCCTCATGGCAATTCTGTGAGGACTGAGAGAGTAACTTGCTCAGAATTGAACACTGCTCACTGTGTTGGAGAACAGTTCTAGTCCTATTTTTCATCTATATATTATGTTCACAAGAGAGCACTGATCATATTTTAACGAAGAGCTGAAGAGGTATGTTGCCTTTCTTAAGCTTCTAGACATGAAAGAGGCTTGAAAATCTCCATTTTCATTTGTATATTTTACTCTCCAGCATTAGGGGGAAAACAGAATACAAACATGAAATGTATCTTAAGGACTTTGAATACAGTGAAGATACTTGTGAAAATTACATTACCAGTGAGCCAGTTTCAATAATCTACAGCATCAACCAATATTAACAGATGATCAACACTAGGTAGACAACATTTTTAAAAGAATTAAATTCGCCTTAACTGCAACTGAATACAATGAAAACAAACTAAAACTAATTTCCTGTTGAATAATGTTCTCTCACTCAAACAGCAGGGGGCACTAATACCTTCCCCACAATTGAAATTTTTTTTAAAAAAAAAATTATTATACAAACATTAATACTAATTTTACATATTTTTACAAAAATAAGAATGAAAAATCACTGTGATATGCATACAAGCAACAATCCAAAAGAAGCAGAGCAAATAACAAAGCTCTGTAAGTATTCACATATATTAGTATGCCAAATGCTGTCAGTATTGATCATAATTACTCTGCAAACATGTCCATCATTCCACTCCAGCAAGGACAACTACATGCAATGCTTACTATAGAAGCACATTCAAGTGGCTTGTTTGTTAAACTGATGAATTATGCTTTTATCGTATTGAACAAGGATGACAATTGCATCAAGGTAACAACTGTACACTATCCAGAACTGGAGAAGTCTGTACTGCACTCTGTTGTCATGTACATTTAAAACTAAGTAGAAACCTATATGATAGCTTATGTTAAACACAATTCCAGTTACCCCAACCTCTTTTAAATTTTTCTTTCATCATTGATGGATTTGAACTGTATTATAACAGCATCCCTATCAGCCACACATTCCTTTAATCAGAACATAAAAACAGAAGCAGTGCCCTGCTGGATCGGACCCCTGGCCCATCTAGTCCAGCAGTTTGTTCTCACAGTGGCCAACCAACAGCACAAGGAAGCCCACTAGTGTCCTAGCAGATGGCCTTCAGAGACAGCGACACTGCCATTAAAACTAATTGATACGGATCCCTGTGACTTCCAGGAATTAGTCCAACTGTTTTCTGAAGCAGTTCCAACACTTTTTTGATGCCAATGTTTGAAATGAAGATTTAAGATGCAGGAAACAAACAATAAATGAAAAACTATAGTGCATTTCTAATGATACAGTGTGGGCTTGCACAAATCATTCAGCGTTGATTATGAAGGACAATTTCATCAATTAAATATCAGCACTTTAAGAATTTTCCCACTAAACATTGCTCTGATAATTCTATAAATAAGTTCTGTACCAAATATCAGCATTCTACCTAATGGTGAAATCCGAACTGGCCCTGAGGAAGAGCATAAAAACACACTAACAAATCTGTATACAGATCCTAAAAGAGCATATAGGATCCATTCTGAGTTGGAATAAATGATTAGATTAAGCAGGCCACAAGAAGAGTGGCTGCAGCATAAAAATCAAGAGCTCTCTATTTACCTCTCACATTGCAATGGTGGCTAGTAACTGAAATATACATAATGCAGTACAGCTGCTGGCACCAAATAAATATTAGTGCTATTATAATATAATTTGCCAATCTGTTCTATCACTCTATAATTTTCTTTCCAGCAACAAAGCATATAATGGTACAAGTATGAAACTGCTTTATCTAGCATTCATCATTCAATATCATGATTTAACCATGCTACTTCCATTTCAGATAGGCACGGCAGAGTGTAAATTGCACATCTTTCCATCTTAACAGTTCTTGCATTTATTCTTCTTTAAAATGCAATACCATACCTCCCACCCACAATAAAATGTATATTAGGCACTGTGTAATTTAAAAGCTCTTCTATGGATATATTGATAAGTGGAATGCTGTTTTTTTTTTCTGGACGTAAACAGAAAATGGCAGGAAATTACTTTGTCAACTTTCAGCACACATAACAGAGAGGAGCCTAGGGACCCCCAAAGGGTTCTTGGAATAACAGGAATTCAGTGTTCCTCAGGGATTAATCCAGAAAAACAATACAATGCAGAGAACATGGTGATCTGTAGATTGAGGAAAGTGGTAAAGTATAAAAGAGAGGATGCATAGGAATAGGTCTTTAAAACAGTGGAGGTGATTAGAAGAGGACACCTTTCCAGTCAGACCCTGACAATATTGTCACAATGATAATATCTGTAACTTCTACACAAATGTGTACTTTCATGGGACTCAGATATGTTTTGTTTTGAAATATCATGCATACTTAGTATTTTACTAAGTTGAAACTTTGATAGAGTGCCCTTGTTTTATAGGTAGAAAGAAAATGGTAGGATAACTTGTTAAAAAAAAACACTTTACTCTGCCCACTCCCAAAGTTCCTTACCCAAAGAAGATGATCATATACTTCTTGGGGGCACTATTGCCCTCACCTGCTCTAGAAGTCAAGAAAGTAACAACTAAAATGCAGATCTAGTATATTAATGCATTTGGGAAGACATCTTACTTTAAACCCAGAACATAACCATCACGACATTCATGGAAAGGATCAATAGGGACAATCAAATATTAGAAGTGGAACTAGCCCTGAAAAGAATCTGGAAGCAGAAATAATAAACATTTGAGATGGTGCAGTTTGTGTGAGACTTCCAGGGCTGAGGAGTAAAAATTATTTTGAACTCAAGAGCATATTACACTTTGTCAGTAATATAAAGTTATAAACTATATCCAGAACCAGATCAAAGTAAACTCTTCTGTAAGATATTTTATCAAAAAGTAGGTACTATATTCTCACCTTATTTAGGGAAAAAGAGCACCTTTTAAGGAAAGGTAAAATTTGTTGCTGCAGTTGTCTTGGAGAGGTGAAGAAAAAATTCAGTGCTTAGATTGTCTCTTTAGCTTGATGTGTCTGTGATTGAAAATCTGAAGAGAAGCAAAACATACACAAAAAACTGTTATAATTTACCACCCATTTACAAAATAGCAAGAATATGAAATGTGTTTTGAATAAAGCAGAATAATAGATGAAATGGGCTATATCACACATAGGTTTATGCTACTATAATATCTATTAGGCTGCAATCCAATACGCATTATCTGGAAATAAGTCCCACTGAGCTCAATGAAGATTACTTTTGAATATGCTAGATTACATTGCTAAAATGACTCAATAGATTACATTGCTAAAATGACTCAAAGACCTCTACAGCATCTGCAATCGACTAATTGGGTAGTACTGGTCAAAATTCAATTTCAGAAAGGAATCCTAAAAAGGTTTTGAGAAGATAGGCTGTGTCTCTCAAACAAATGTGGATTTATAACAGATGCATTGGTACAGTACAGCAAATATCTAAAAGATTGCTTTTACTGTTTCAGAAAATAATTTAAAATCTGTGACCTTTAAACTTAAGCACAACTCTAGTTTTTTTGTCTTTACCTTTACATCAAACTGTCTTATTTGATGGAAAGACAGGAAAGACAGGGGCTTTTTGGTATATTAGCTTAATTTTAATGAAATTAACATATGGTACGTTCTCTTTCTCTCTCCCCCTCTTGAAAGCCAAAACATGGTGCAGCAAAATTTAAAGAACCTCATCATGTCAAAAGATAACAATAGCAGAGCTGCATCTTCCTGTTGTGAAGGATACAAATCAGCTGTATATCTTGGCAATTATTGTAACAAAAAAATGAGGAAGCAGAATATAGCATTCATAATTTTTAGGATTTAGTCAAGACTCAACTATAGCTATTTGAAAGACACACCACAGAACAGCAGCTTAACCATGGAATACCATCAGATAAACCATATTGCAAAGCCAGGGATAGACAACCAACTGCCCTCCTTGATATCTTCAATTTCAACTCCTACCAGCCCTAGTGAGCACAGCCAAGGGATTGGGAATGCAGGATTTCAAAACATCTGGAATGCACCAAATAGCCTGCCCTGTGTTAAACCTTAATGTTGTTCTGACTTAATGTGATATGAAATTCTATTCATTGTGGCCTGTAAGCCATCATTTCTTTCCTGGAATAGATCATACATTTCATTAACCCCAAAACAAAACAAAAAAACCCTGAACCAGGCCAATGTAAATGAATTGCTCTAGTATGACACAACAGAAGCCAATATTGCCAGATGACACATAAGAATGCTATTGCAAGCCTGTGCAATAACAGAGAAAATTCACCTAAATATGCTCTTCAAATAATGCTGGCCATCACACAATTAGCTATACTGACACATTTAATTCTCCTTAGCACTTGGACAAGATTATGAAAACCAGCCCATGATGATGTTACAGGGACAATAGATGCTACATGTATGGATCAAATGTCTTCCTTTACAAACAAAGGATCTACAAGAGAAGCTTTCTCATTAACATGAAGTATCAAAATAAATACCAACAATCTGAAACTATTATAGCATATTTAAAAGCATAACCCACTTTATAGGAAGATCCAATAGCATAAATAACATAATATTGCAAGAAATTTAAATGTGCTTACTTTTCTATCAGAATGCACCATTCCCAGAATTTCAGCAGAAACTTTCTAGTTCTACAATAATATAACAGGAAAGTGATTTAGTAAGAGAAGTTTTAGGATCAACTGAAGTACGTTATCATCTCTTTCCTCATATTTAGGGTTGCCATGTTATTCCTAACATACTGGAGCCAATAATTAAAGTACAAACTCTTACAAGTGCATTACACTCTTCCTTTCTTTTGGTCAGACTGTTTTATAACATATAGTTTCACGTTTCTTGAAAACATAGGCTGAAAAGGAAGACATTCCTCCTTGAAATTGTATGTGTTCGTGCATACACACATACCTCTCCATACTTTTTTACCTCAACTTTAATGTGTCCTTTAAAGTGTCAAGCTAAATTCCTGGTGACTTTATGGAGATGTCCATGTTATTTTCTTGCAACAATACAGAAGTGGTTTGCCACTTTCTTCCAGGATGTTTTCTCAACGTCCTAGTCTAGTATACAGTATATCCTGGTGGTCTCCCATCCAAGTACTAATCAAGCCTGACTCTGCTTAGCTTCTGAACCAAGAAAAGATTGACCATGTACTGCTGCCTGATACTCTTTTTTCATTTTAATTCAAATTAAAATTGAAGATGTAATCAAATGGGGCACAATCTATTAGAAAGATTTCCTCTACATATCCTATTTAAATAAGGCTTGTACAAGAGACCTTCCTTGGTGTATTACAGTGCATTCGGAAAGTATTCAGACCCCCTTCACTTTTTTCAATTTTGTTATGTTGCAGCCTGATACTACAATCA